TACGCAAAAAGCCATGAAAAGAGCTACTTCCCTAGCCTGCGGAAAGCAGTAGAGAAATTAGCTGAAAAAAACTCAACTGCAGACTTCAAGCAGCTGAAGTTGGAACTATCTATTTTGACAACTGCTCTGGAATCAGCCGCCAACTGGATGCTTGGGGGTGTCGTCGGCTTGGAAAATCTCCTCGACGGGTGTCGATCATCGGTGTCCTTTCCGCGTGTTTTTTTGTGACAGCTACACAAATCCCACTTTGTACAGACTTGATTTTTAATTTATAAATTCTCCATATTTACCCACTTTCCTATTTTGAATCTGTAAAATACCGCGTTATGCACCAATTCGTCTTGCCTTCGAAATCGTTGCCCGCGAGTACTCTTTTACTTTGGTTGAGTTTCTTATATATGCAATGATTTCCCACTATGGACACATTTTGCACGTTATTAGGAGAATCTTCACTCAAAGACTGTCCCACACTCATTCAGCCAAGTGGTGTCACACCCGAGCCTCGAACTCGCGACCTCTCTGTTCATAGTCAAACGCCCTAACCACTGAGCTATGAGCTCGTTGTCTTGACGGTTTTTGATCGGGAATATACAGTGGCAGATAGGCGTACACCGATCAATTAGCGGACACACTCGTCCGTTCATGGTGCCTTTGGAGCTCACGCCCTGGCCTACGCCGCAAGGCGGCAAATGATATAGGCAGAAGAACATTACCGATAGAGACAAGGGAGACTAAGATGGCTTTTTCTGGCTTATTAGCCGTCGTCAGCCAGTCATACCCAATCCCATGATTTGCACAGGGACCTCTGGTCATTCAGTCTAGCACTGTACCATTGCACAGCGGGCTCGTTGGCTTGTCGATTGCGATCGGCAATATGATATTCTCGTGTTCATCCGATCTCTAATTAGGTAGGATTCTTACCCCGTCGTTCCTTGAGTCTCGTGCCTGAGTAATCACAGTCTGTCTTGGCGACTTCAGACGTACGATGGAGTGGAACCACCAAAGATGAGGGAGACTTGAATGGCCGTTTGGGTTTCACACCCTACCAAGTAAGTAAGAATACAATGGGTAAGGCCATTGGATGGAGGCAAAATGCCTACGACAGCAAGATGGACATGGCTGAAGCAAGCGTCGAGGTTAGGAAAAGTGCTAGGTGGGGACTTATTGTGGCTTTGAACCTTGCTCCGCTGGCAACTCGGGCAAGATCGGGCCCAGGCTTTGACGTCTTTGTTCATGCCAGGCCAGACGAACTTTTTCCGCAAGGAGCTTTTGTGAGGCTTGAATCCCAGGGTGGGAGAGTCCATGAAAAGTTTGGAACACAGCTCGATGCATCAAGGGGGGGGAGCACAAACGGGCGATGAAAAGGAATCGATACATCACAAAGGATGGTGCCAGTCCCAGTAATGAGGGGAACGTCCGCATGCTGGAGACCAGTTACAACTTCTTCGCCAGCCAACACGTCGAATTGGACGTGATATACACCAACCTCAGGGAAGCATGGAAGAGACGACAGCCTATCCGGACTAGAGGAAGCGAAAACCAGCCACCACCTACCGCAGGATTAATTGCAGTCGACAATTAGTGCCCGACCGACCGCATAATTACATGCGGGTGACAACTAATTTTTTCCCCATTGACCGCACAACCACATGCGGGTGACGATTATGGACTATTACCTTATCCACTATATAAGCGTCTGTTAGCCATCATTTTGAATTAACTGTTTCGTACAATTTCCATCCGTCTGACAACGACTTAGTGTGCCATTGTCGAAAATTTACACAATAAAGCACTGTTTCCGAGAGAACTTCTACCGAATTATATTTCTTGGTATGCCGATTTTCCAGTTCATATTAATATATGGTTAATAAAAACACTATATTTTCGGAAAGTCAGCACCATAATTTTGTAGACTGACTTGTTTCCTCCGGATTACAGGCAGCTACGCGGGGACCCAATCCAGGCATTTCGCATGCTGCGTGGTCAGGATTGTTGCCTCGAAACAAATGACTTCTTTTAGCAGGCCACCACCTCTAGGCTGCGAGGACACCCTCTCAAATTACGTGTGACTGGGGCAAGACTTGACCCAAGAAAATTCTTTTTTCTTTTTCTCTAAGAGAGTAACCCAGGCATGGAATGTCCTTCCTGCGGACATTGTCATGTCCCCATCCGTGGACACCTTTAAGACAAAG